CCTGGTAGATCAATTGCTTTGGAACAAATTCTAATTTTCCAAACAAGCATTATAGCAGAAATGACTGTAAAATGACTGCTTCGCTTTGAAAAATAAACTGCTTGGAGTACTTTGTAAAAGGAGCAAGCCTTGCCTTAGCAAATGCTAAAATATGGTAAAGTACCTATTATTTAAAATGTGCTGGGAAGAATAAACTAGAAACTACATAAATGTGCATAAATAGGGGACTGGTTAAGTAAATTAACCATCCATAATGTAAAACACTAGAGCTAATTTAAAAGAATGAATGGGAGTCTGTGAGTACTGATCTAGAAAGCAGTCCAAAATACATTTTTAAGAAAGAGTAAAAAGCAGAAAAGTATGTGTAGTGTAATCATATTTGTATTTTTAAAAGTATGTATGTGTTTATATTATGCATATATTTTATTGTATAAGCACAGAATCTGGAAGAAAGCAAAAGAAACTGTTAACAGTGGGGTATCACACTGGGTGGGAATGGATTTTTACTTTCCCCCTCTCTCTCTCTCATGAACATGTTTTGTTTTTGTTATTTTTTAATTAAAAACTAAATTTAATGTGTTGGCATCAAAGTGGACATAAACCAATTGAAAAATAGAAAATCCAGAACTATATGCTAGTATGTTTAAAAATTCACTATATGATAAAGTAGACATCACCAAACAGTTAAGAATGAGTAAAGAATTGTATTGACTCATTTGTGTCTTGACAAAAGTTCAAATTATATATTATATATAATGTCATATATACATATATATCACATTTGACATGCCAAAGTAAATTCCAAATGGAGTACAGAGTTATGCAGAAAAAGTGAAATGTCATCTACAAAAAGGTGGTCATTTAAAAACTCTTCATAAAAAAAATTCAAACCGTGGATAATTTTAGTATAATGAATACCGTTCGCCTAGATTCACCAGTTGTCAGCACTTGCCACACTTGCTTTCCCTGTCTCCCTCTACACACACTCATTATTTATGCTGAACCGTTTGTAGGTTTGCGACACTTCATCCGTAAACATTCAACATGTTAAGAGCAAAGACATTTTCCTACATAACCTCAATACCATTATCATGTGGAAGAAACTAATATTGACACAAGATGGGTGGTCCATATTGTATCATCATCTGACTCATTCAAAATTTCCCCAAAACCCCAATAAAATCCTTTATAGCTGTTTTTTTCAAAGTTTCAATTGAGGAATATACAGGGTTTTTTTTATTTTTTAAAATTAAAGTTTATTGGGGTGACAATTGTTAGTAAAGTTACACAGGTTTCAGGTGTCCAATTCTGTAATACAACATCTATATATCACATTGTGTGTTCACCACCCAGAGTCAGTTCTTCCATCACCACATATTTGATCCCCTTTACCCTCATCTACCACACCCCTCCCCCCTTACCCTCTGGTAACCACTAAACTGTTGTCTGTGACTATGAGATTTTGTTTCTAATGCCATGTCTCTTTAGATTCCTTTAATCTAGAATAGTCCCCCTACTTTTTTTTCTTTTATCTTTGAAGATATTTGCAGAGTTTTGGCTAGTTGTCTTCTGTATTCTAGACTGTCTCACAATCTGGATTTATCTGATTATTTCCTCATGACTAGATTTAGGTTAAAATTTTTTGACAAAAATATGTCATGGGTGATAATGTACCTCTCATTATATTAAATGAATGCTTTCCACGTCAGTTTTTCCCATTACTGGTGATGCTAAATTTGGTCATTTGGCTAAGGTGGGTCCCCCCAAATCTCTTCATTGTCAAGGTTGTATAGTAGGGAGAATTTTGGTCCCCATGATCTTCTCTCCACACAAATGTGTTTTGTTACATGGCAAAAAGAGCATTGCAGATATAATTAAGGTGACCAATTCTTAAAATAGGGAGATTGTCTTGGATTATCTGCAATGTAATCACATGACCCCAAGCCCTTAAAGTAGAAGAGGGAAAGTCAAAGAGATTCAAAGCAGGAGCAGGATCTGATGCCCTGTGCCTTGGAGATGGAAAAGAACACATGTTAAGGAAATGGGGACCTTAGTCCTACAGATGCACGGGACTAAATTCTGCCAACAACTTGAATGAGCTTGGAAGTGGATTCTTCCCCAAAGAATCTAAAAAGAAATGCAGATACTTTGATTTTATCCCCAAGAGGCTCTGAGCAAAGAATCCAGCCATGCAGTGCCAGACTTCTGACCTATATAAAGTGAGGAATAATAGATTTATGTTGTTTTAAGCCAATAAGATTGTAATGATTTGTTATGGCAGAAATGGAAAACTCATACAAGGACCTTTCCCTTTGTAATTAATATGTAATCTGAATATCCCGTTTCCCTACACTCAAGGATCATCTATTGATTATCACTATCTGAATCACTTAAAGTAATTTTGGTGAGTGCAAGATAGTGATTTTCTAATTCCAGCATTTCTTTCTTTCTTTTTTTTGGGGGGGGAATTGCGGGAGGGGAATAGCATTGGTGAATCAGGAAAGGGGAACAGACGAGTTGCTGTCCTTTTGTTCTTCAGTCTAGTTGTGGAGGACGTCGCTTCACTGGCCCATGTTGGTATTATCATTGCACTCTTCACAGGTGAGGCAGTTGCTCGCCGGTCATTAGACGGCCGCTCACGGCAGCTCACAAAAGCTCACACCCACTGCTGGCCAGCCCCACAGCAGCCTACACCATCTCCGGTGACTCACAGCAGCCTAGCTCCAGGTCAAGCTGTTGTTCACCATCTTAGCTGTAGAGGGCAGTGTAACTGGCCCTCATATGGGATCCGAACCGGGCCCTGCTGCTCAGTTCTGGCGTCCCAAGCCAACTCTTAACCAATGGGCCACTCGGCCAGCCCTCCAGCATTTCTTATTAGCTGGCATTCTTCTGTGAAGAAGAGATTGCCCCTGCCTTTTTAAGTATCACTATGAACTTAGGAATTCTTTTAAAATTCAGTTTATTATCCCATGCTATTAATATTCTTTTGAAATTAAAATTGACTGCCATGGGCTACCGTGAGTGGCCAGCAGTCACAGTGAGCAGCCGTTCAGAAGCCGGCGACTGATCTGCCTCACCTGGGAAGAGCGCAATGATGGTGCCAACTTGGGCCAGTGAAGCAACGTCCTCCACAACTAGACTGAAGAACAAAACGACAGCAACTTTTCTGTTCCCCTTCCCCCAATTCCCCAGCACTGTTCCCATCCCCCAATTCCCCAATTAAAAAAAAACATATGAATTAACCAATTTCCAAAAGAAATATTAATTACAAACAGAATGAACTGCTTTCTACTTCTATTTTATTTTATTAGCAAATGAGTTGTTTAAATGATAGCTAAGTTAGAGATTTACTCTAACATGGCTGATAGCACTGTAAATTGAATTAATGAAGGTGTTTCTTGGAATAAAGGAAAACTGTAAAAACAATGAATAATTGTACATCAGGCAAACCTAGGGGCCTGGTCAGCCACAGGTAGGGACTAAGAGGGCACTCAGAGCGCCCTCCCATCAAACCCACGCTGCTGCCCCGGGCTGTCGCCTCCTGAGGAAAGTCGTAGAATCATGTCCAATGTGGAGAAACACCTATTTAACTTGAAGTCTGCAGCAAAAGAACTTAACAAGCATGCCAAGAAATGCGATCAAGAATAGGCTGATAAGGCCATTCAGAAAGGCAATACAGAAAGAAGTTGCAAGAATACACGTTGAAATGAGGTCCACCAGCAAAACCAAGCCATTAATTTCTTGAGAAGGAGCGTTTGGGTTGATGCTGTGGCAGCCAGAGTCCAAACTGCAGTCACAATGGGCAAGGCAACCAAGTCCATGGCAGGTGTAGTTAAGTCCATGGATGCTACATAGAGGAGTAAGCACCTTGAAAAGATTTTGGTCTCGATGGACAAGTCTGAAGCACTGATGTTCAAACACAGCAAATGGAAGACTCGATGAGTAGCACTACAACCCTAACACCACCACCACAAAACCAAGTGGATATACTGCTTTAAGAAATGGCACATGAAGCTGGCCTTAATCTCAACATGGAACTACACAAGGTCAGACAGGATCTGTTGGCACAACTGTCACTTCCACGGAACAGGAGGAACTATCACAGAGATATCTCGTCTATGTGATAACGTGTGATTTAAAGAATTGGTGCTTTTGTTGACTTTACCTGCTTCTGAAAGATTTTGTGTGTATATATGGATAAGTTGCGCTCCAATGACAGTAAGACTACCATATATTACGGAGTGCTTTTAAATACTATTAATACAGAACTCTTTTTCTGCCATGCTGTACTTTCCAATACTTTAAGAAATCCCAGCGAGTTTCCAGCTTGACAGATTTTATGGGTTTGTATATCATGTTGAAAAGCATGAGGAACATTTTTATTTGTAGATGTCTTTTTTTTAAGTTGCAGAAAAGGAGTTTATTAGAAGTAAAAATACGTTTCAAAGAAGTAGAAATGGGCCCGAGCAATAGAGAATGGCTAAGGGCCCATTATTAGAAAAGAAAGGACACTCCAAAGAGTTTGGAGCAGGCCCTGAGCAGAGGCAAGGCTCAAAAGGCCTATTTGTAGATGTCTTTAACCAACTAGCTTGTTGTATATGAAATACCTTACTCAAAAATTACATAAAAAATCCAGCACCAAAGTACTACAGAATAAAGTATTTTATACAGAAAAAAATAATGGTGCATCGCTGCTATGGAATATTATGCAACTGCTAACACATGTTTTCAAATTACTAGTATTAATTTGAAAAAAGATTTGATCATGAAAAAAGGGGACTGTATAATTATATGACAATTTAATATGTGATATTATATATATAATATATAGACAATATATATAGGGAGAGACAAAGGCCATAACAGAGCATGCAAAAACACAAATAGTTGGTTTGTTAGAAATTATGGGTGACTTTTTTGCAGTTTGCATGACTGATAAATTGTTTTACAATAAAAAGAAATAAAATTTCAATGTTTTGCACTTGGCCATTGTACCACAGGAGATACTGAAGTGGGAAGAAGTTCACTATGATTGAAGACACCACAGAACTTCTGACAGAACAAGAACTGAGGAAGAAAATATGGTTAAATTCATGAAAGGGATGGAAAGGTGAGTGAGAGTAGTTGTTCACAAAATCTTGGAATGCTAGAATTGGAGGGTACCTCCTGGTACTTCTAAGTAGTTGACCAAGTTTTTATTGAATAACTGAGTGCCTGTTAAGTCCACTGTTAGACTTGAATGTTATGAGTGTATGAACAACGATAAGAATTACTGTTTACAAGCTGGGTTTAAATTTATGACACCTATTACTCCAAGAGGGAGTCATCCATTACTCGACTTTATCGCCCACTGCTGCCTATAAAACACTGCACTTGCTTGGCTGGTCTCTGCATGGGTCCCTGACTTTACTTCATGCCTCCCTGTAAGTCCAGATCTCATCCACCCTTCATGCTTCAAGGCTCAGCTTAAGTCTCTGCCAACCTCCCTCCTTCAACCCCTTACAATCTAAGAGGGCTCTTGATATATTCCAGTCTGTACTTATGGCTTCTTTCCCTGAATATTTACAGCACCAGTTTGTCAATTAGTCTCATAATTAAATCAATCACCTACTCTAAGCAACCTAATCATTACCATACAACCGAATATATTATTCCGAATATCTATTACGTTTTTACAATATATTTCCCCTGTGCCAGGTAGGAAGACGTGACTTCGTGATCTCATCTAAGCATCACAACAACGCTGAGAAATGTGTAAATTATATCCAGAAACTGAGACTCAGAGATGTTAGAAAATTTGCTCCAGGTCACAGTGGCTGTGCTGGAAATTTAAGGTAGCTCTAACTCCAAAGACTGCACTCCTAACCACTATGTAATGCTGCTGCAATTGTACTGTGTGTGTTTTCTCACCTTAATTAGAGATGTAAGATGAGTTTTAAGACTAGGAGGGCAAGGGTTGTTTCCTTTGTAGCCTCTTCATTGCTCCTCAAGCTGCTGTACACAGTCAGTGCTCAATAAGTACTTAAGGAATGCCAAAATGGAGCTGTAGATAGCTGAAAAGAACCAATTACTTCAAAAAGGATTTCGATTTTAGACAGAGCTGATTGGTGACATATTCATGATGGATTAAAGGAAACAAGGGCATTTGGGTCCATCTTTAGTCCCTGAGGCGTTTTGGTGGAGACCTACTCCTTCACACCCTTTGCTGCTCCCTTACGACTAAGAAGTGATTGGGCTGGAAGGGATTTCGGGTCTGACACCCAGTGTGATCCTTCTTCGATTCCTTCGTTCCTCTTCTTGTCCCGAAACTGCTCTCCTAAAAGGGCCTGTCTCTGTGCTGGCGCTTTTCCCGGTTAGGCTTTGCTTGGTGCCACACCTCCTCTCCTTGTGCATTGAAATGAGGTATGGTACCTATGGGAGGCAGGTAGTGAAGTCCACCTGGCCTGGTTTCATCAGGAAGGTGATGAACAAATAATGAGGGTGTGATGTCAGGCAAGTCATGCGTCTAAGCCTTGGCTTACTCATCAGTAAAACGGAATTAAATAAGCTCCCTCTTCCAATATTTCAATATTGTCAGAATTTCATATTTAGTAATTTAACATTTACAGGTAGCTAGAGATGCACTGTGGCGAGATGGGGCCTCGAATTCTAGATGGGATTGTGTGAAATCATCTTCCATAAAAAATAAAATTAAAAAAAACCACCCACAGTTGAAGGTGAGAGCTCAGGGGTCGGCGTCAGATGGCTGTCCATCATCTGACACGGTCCTTGGGAAAGACCAGGGGTGCGGGAACCTGGTGAGGAAAAGCAAGTTAAGGAAGGCTGAGGGAGGAGTCGGAGGCTATCTCCGGTGTTTTCCCCCTCCACCTCTCTTCCTCCCCTGCCCCCACTAATCACTGATTCTGACTATCAAGGCACAAAGGTAGAAAATCCCAGGGGGTCTCAGGCCAGGAAGCCTCTCATTGTCCTGCCCAAGGTAAGCGAGGTGGAAAGACTGCCCTCCCCCCTCTCGCTCCTCGCCACACTGGTCTTGCTGTACCAAGTGGGAAACAGGGTCAGGCCCCACGCAATCCCTTTTGCAAAGCGGAGGAGTATGTGCGTGCATGTGGGAGTGCGCGCGCGTGTGTTTGTGTGTGTTGTGTGTAGGGAGAAGGATTGGGGGTGGGATTCCATGACGTTACTGGCTCCGCCTCCGTGGGTATATAAGGGGCTCTTGGCGCGCAACGACCCCAAGCAGCAGCTTGAAGCCTGAGCAGCTTAACTCTGCACCTCCGAACCAACTCGTCTTAACTCATCCTCGCCGAAGCCGCCCCAAGGCTCTCCGCTCCCCGGGCTTGCAGCCGCTCCCTGGTAAGCCTTGGGGGCCGACACGTGCGTCGGAGGGGGACGGCGAGGGTCAGGGCACGGCGACGGATCTCTGGCAACCATGGCTTGCAGTTGCATCAACGCGGCCGTGACCTGTTGCTGGCGAGACCCCGGCCCCGGAACCGAGGCTCCCGCCTCCACTTCAGCTCCAGAACATTTCTAGATGGGCCGTGAGAATTTGGGAGCTGAGTCAGGGGGCCTAGTGCGGAGACCCTTCTCTCCGGTGTGAGCAATTTCGGGCTGCTTAGGGGCCCCTCTCGGGGCGCGTCTCTGAATCTTTACATGTCGAAGCCCCGCCTCACTGTTGATGCTAGCAGGTCAGCCTAGCGGGGCGGGAGGAAATGGGGGGACATTTGCTTACTCCCCAGGGCCACGGCGACGCAGTTCCGCGGTGTGGGCTTGGTGAGGAGGGATGGAATGGAGATTCGGCTCACTTTTGATCTGCTGCCTAGGTCGCTCGCCCTCCCTCCGGGGGATCTAAGAACCACACCTATGGAGTGGTCCTGGGGACAAGCACTGGACTGGAACGTGGATGCTGGGCGGGCTTTTTCCCACAGTTGCCGACCCTCCTAGGTCCCTTCTGTTTAATTTCCAAGGAGCTACAGGACAGGAACTGATATTAATATAAGATTTCATGGTTCCTGGGCTGGGGTCTAGGATAAATACCCGTTTCCCCGTGAGAAAGAGGAGTCTCATATTGACGGAGCACTTAGGAGGTACTAGGCCACTGTACTCCTGTATGGGACTTTCACATGCCTTTTCTGAAATTGCTCCTGGCACTGACCTGTGCGGTATTGTTATTCCTGTGCAGGAAGATACTGAGGTTAGAGGAAAAGTGACTTGCCTTTGTTTCTTCGGTAGCCTCCTGCCCATCCCCCCATACCCCCCTCAGCGCTTGTGCTTGTGGAGGGGCTATTGTAATTTATTCTTAGAGTTTAGGGATATTGAGCTCTACTGAAGAGCTTCTGTCTTGTTTCTCACCAGATCCTAGCATCCTCTTCAATTCCAGCTAGAATGCTGTGCCGCACACTTCGCAGATTTGGTCAAAAGCTGGTACGCAGGCGTATACTGGAGCCAGGCGTGACTGGGACTCGCCTTGCCAGATGCCTGAGCACTCTGGATTTAGTGGCCCTGGGTGTGGGCAGCACATTGGGTGCAGGCGTGTATGTCCTGGCTGGCGAGGTGGCCAAAGATAAAGCAGGACCATCCATTGTCATCTGCTTTTTGGTGACCGCCCTGTCTTCTGTGTTGGCTGGACTGTGCTATGCGGAGTTTGGTGCCCGGGTCCCGCGGTCTGGCTCTGCGTATCTCTACAGCTATGTCACTGTGGGGGAACTCTGGGCCTTCACCACTGGCTGGAACCTCATCCTCTCCTATGTCATCGGTGAGATGGTGGGCAGGGAGGAAACTACACAGCCAATGAGGGGGCTTTTGAGTCAGGGAATCTGAGTGGAACGCAAAGTCATCACAGGACTCCATTACCCCTAAATGCGTGTGTGTGCTGGGGGCTGGGAGGGTTCAAGTTGTGGAGAACTTGTTTGTTCTTACCTCTGTCCCGGTTTCTTTAATTGACTAAATCTGGTTCTTACAAAGTACTACTAGGTGAAAAGAGCAGGATTCTTGTGAGACTGGTATGGGAGAAGAGAGGGGGAGAGGGAGAAAACTTGACCCAACTTTCTCCTGCTCCTTCACCAGGTACAGCCAGTGTGGCACGGGCCTGGAGCTCAGCTTTTGACAACCTGATTGGGAACCACATCTCTCAGGCCCTGCAAGGAAGCATCTCGCTGAACGTCCCTCATATCCTCGCCAAGTACCCGGACTTCTTTGCTTTGGGCCTTGTGTTGTCGCTAACAGGTGAGGCAAGGGACAAAGATAATGATGGAGGCGGGGCTAGGAGGGACTAGGCCTGAGGCAAGGGCTCTGGGCCTTGTGTTGTCAGCTCACAGGTGAGGCAAGGGACAAAGATAATGAATGAGGCGGGGCTAGGAGGGACTAGGCCTGAGGCAAGGGCTGTGGCGAAGGAAGAGGAGCTGGGAAGGATCAGTCTGCACAGAGGTGGGGAAACAAAATGTGGACTGGAGACCGTCTGAGTCCCAAATGCCTCTTTCCCACAGCTTTGCTGGCCCTGGGGGCTAGTGAGTCGGCCCTGGTGACTAAGGTGTTCACAGCGGCGAACCTTCTGGTTCTCGTTTTTGTCATCGTCTCTGGCTTCATTAAGGGGGACCTGCACAACTGGAAGCTGACGGAAGAGGACTATAAACTGGCCATGGCAGGAGCCAATGTCACCTATAGGTTAGGAGACTCCCTCAGGAGATGCAGACCCGGGAACATGATGGGGCCAGGGTGTCCACGCTGAGGGCCTGGAAGAATGGGAGCCCAGGCCTTGGACACCTAGCTAAGTGTCCGGCATTCCAGAAAGGGCAGGGAGTTGGCTGGACACACCTTACCTTTGTCATCCGTTCTTCCTCTTCAGCTTGGGCCCTCTGGGCTCTGGAGGATTTGTGCCTTTCGGCGTCCAGGGGCTTCTGCGTGGAGCAGCTACCTGTTTCTATGCATTTGTTGGCTTCGACTGCATTGCTACCACTGGTAACACAGTCTTTGCTTTGTGTCAGGGGCTTGGGCACAGTGTGTGTGCACTCAGGCCACATGCAGATTGGGGGTGTTGGAGGAGGAGCCTTTGCCCTGATCCAGAACCTTGTGCCCCTTCCTGCAGGGGAAGAGGCCCAGAATCCCCAGCGCTCCATCCCCTTGGGCATTGTCGTTTCACTGTTAGTCTGCTTTCTGGCGTATTTTGGTGTCTCTTCGGCACTCACGCTAATGATGCCTTACTACCTGCTTCGACCTGAGAGCCCCTTGCCTGAGGCATTTCTCCATGTTGGCTGGGCCCCTGCCCGCTATGTTGTGGCTGTTGGATCCCTGTGTGCGCTTTCTACCAGGTCAGTGTCAAATGTGTGCTCTCCTGTGCTGTCGGAGTCTCAGGCTATAGCATTCAGGACCAGAGAACATCCCTAAAGGGGCTGTGAGGAGAAGGTGGAGACTCCTTAACCTCATAGGCTTGGGGAGAGAGATCGCAGTCAACTCATGCCACTCTGGGCATTCTTCTCTCCAGCCTCTTGGGTTCTATGTTCCCCATGCCTCGGGTGATCTATGCAATGGCGGAGGATGGCCTCCTGTTCCAAGTCCTCGCCCATATCCACAGCGACACACACACCCCCATCGTGGCCACTGTGGTCTCTGGCGTTATCGCAGGTGAAAAAGCATGTTTGCCCTTCCCCTAGCTGTTTTGCCAACTTCCTTACCTTTGCTCTTCCCTTTTCTCATTTCTTGTTTTCTGCCTATCAATTTCAGGATTAATGGCGTTCCTCTTTGAACTCAGTGACCTTGTGGACCTCATGTCAATTGGGACCCTGCTTGCTTATTCCCTGGTGTCTATTTGTGTTCTCATCCTCAGGTAAGACCCCCCTCCACATACTGTGATTTGGGTTTTTATTGGAGGAGGAATGATGGGGATCTGTTCCTCCTTCCTCTGCCTCCATCATCCTGTCTCCTTGAGGATTGTGGGTGCCCCTCCCTGCCCCAGAGAGCTACCTTTCATGGTGACAGGAGAGTTAAGCTGCCTGGGGGATGACAAAGTGGTTAAGGGTGGTTCTTACTACTGCCTTCTTACTCAACCTCAGGTATCAGCCTGATCTGGAGATGAAGAGTGAGGAAGATGAAGAGGAGTTCCAGGAGGAGAGGCCACCTCAAGCAGAAAAGCTGACCTTACAGCTACTGTTCTGTCCAGTCAATTCCATCCCCTCTCCACTGTCTGGCCAAGTTGTCTATGTTTGTTCCTCACTACTTGGTGAGCAATGGAGTTTTGCTCTGGGGTGTCTCTGGGGTTGGCATGATGTGGGGAGACAGTGTGTGGCATTTGGTGGCTGAGGGAGCACTAGAGAGAGGGTGACCCTCCTTGGAAATGGGTGCCTGATCATGTAACACATTGTCAAGAGTTGATATTGATGTTTCTCAACCTGACTCTTGAAGCTCTACTGGTGAGTGTCCTCTGCCTGGTGCTAGCCCAGTGGTCTGTTCCGCTGCTGTCTGGAGACAGAGTGTGGATTGCAGTGGTTGTGGTGCTCCTGTCGCTCATTACTGGGATCACTTGGGTCATCTGGAGACAGCCACAGAGCCCTACTCCGCTTCACTTTAAGGTAAATGACCTCTGTCTTTCCCCCAGGCTCCAGACACCTGTGGTCTACTAAGGTTCACAGATATTCTTTAATTGGACAGGGAAGGAAAGATCTAGGAGATACACATAGGCCAAAGACTTCTTCTCCGACCCTCCTTAGTTTATTTCCAGTTTATTTCCCCAAACTCTGCATGTTCTTGGCAGTCCCGTTTGAGGCACACTAAATGGTGGACAGTGAAATACAATTGGGTAGGAGTTGGACTCTGCCTTTCCTGGCCTGAGTAGTAGTTACAGGTCTTGTTCCAGGTCACCTGGTGGGGCGCTATGTACTAGGATGATTTTGCTTTGTTCCCAGGTCCCTGCTTTGCCTCTCCTCCCACTACTGAGCATCTTCGTGAATATTTACCTTATGATGCAGATGACAGCTGGCACCTGGGCCCGATTTGGGGTCTGGATGCTGATTGGTAGGTATCCACTTGGGAAGAGCTGGCCTCTTGGGTATCCCACCCCAACTCCTTTCCCTCTTGGTCTCAAGAAGGAAACCTATTAGTCATTATAGGTCATTATTTCCCCACCTCACAGCTACCTTTCCCCACTAGGGTTTGCTATCTACTTCGGCTATGGAATCCAGCACAGCTTGGAAGAGGTTAAGAGTGCCCGACCCCCACTGAAGGCTAGGGCCCCAACTATAGGCCTTGATGTCAGCCATTCCTGTACGCCTTCGATTTGACATCATGCCTGAATGCTCTCTGTTCCCCCCGCACAATAATGGAGACAACTCCTGACCACACAGAGCTAGGCCCCCCAATAAGATATTGGTGGGGGGCCACTGATAGAGCTTTGCTTTGTGGAGTGAAGGATTTGTGTCTCCTGTTTCTCATCTTTTTTTGAAACTTGTCTGCTTTTCAATTGTCTGTAGCTGCTTACTGGCCTTTTAAAAATTATTAAATAAAATTAGAACAGCTATGTCTTGTCTTGTGCTTGCTAGAGATGATGTGGAGTCTGACTTGCAGTGTGGAGAGCGTCACATAAGTGTCGTGTGTTGACTCCAGTCACCACTTGTTGACTCCAGTCACCACAGAAGTGTCTGTTGTGCCTGTGCGTGCCTCCTGTTGGCTCAGGGTTTGAGGAGGGTGGTGTAAGCAGTGCAGCCATCCTGTCTAGTCACACTTACGGGAGTGATCTTGAGATATGTTTCCCCTTGCTATACTAAAGTTAGGTTCTGAGTAAGTAGACAGCAACACTCGTCTCTGGGATTTGGGTCTGGACTCATCTTAGCACTGGCATTGGCCAGGACCTACACTGAGACCACTGTCTCCTGTTCCACCCTTGGACTTGGACCAGTCCCACGTTGCTGCGACTGCCTGAGCAACCCAAATTTTGGCTGGGGTGTTTGGCATTGCTGGGAGGAGAAGCAGACAGTGGGGGGCTTGGTAAAGAATTGTATATGTGTATAGACAATGATTGCTGCAGAAGTAGTAAGGGAACAACAGGTCAGAGCTGCCCAGATCAGGAACTAGGCATTCACCTCTGTTCAACAAACGTGAGCCTTCTATGAAATGCTAGGTCTGGGGCTGGGTGCTGGGGATACAAGCATGAATAAAACATCCCTGCCCTCAAGGAACTCACTGTCTAGTGGGAGAGACACACAGGTAAACAGCAGTGATTTGCAGCAAGGCAAGCTGAGTGCTGAGCACTGCAGGAGCCAAAGAAGGACATGCTTGACTGAGTATTGAATCAGTGTTGTGACAAGCTGGGTAGTGCTTGTCTGTCAGTGAAGAGTGCACCTGGAACTGTGGAAGTGTGAAAAAGCATACTGTTCAAGGGTATACCATACAGTTAATGTGGCTGGAGGGTAGTGGACATGGGCTTGTGAAGGATAACAGACCATGTGAATGGCCTTGTATATACTACCAAGGAATTCAGATGTCTTAAATGTGTGTGGAGTGGAGGATTCCACACAAGGGGCATGGTGGGGTCTGTTAGTCTGGCAGCAACAAGGAGAATGGCTTGGAGGAGGGTGGGGGCAGCTAGAGCGGTGAGATAATAGCTACCTTTATTGAGTGTTTATTATATGCCTGATACTGTGCATACAATCTCATTTAGTCCTTGCAGTAACCCTATGAAGTAGATGTTATAATCATGACTTCTTATAGATGAAGAAACAGGTTTTGGGTAAGAAATATGCTCTAGGTCACATAACTTGGAACACTCAGGGCTAGGACACAAACCCAGTTCTGTTTGACTGCAGTGTGTACTCTAACCATTGTGTGACATTGCCAGTATAATTAGGAGGGCAGCAATTTGGGCAAAATATATCAAGGTTTTGGGTCAGTTGGATATAAGATTAGACAGAAAAGGATGACTTAGATTTCTGGGTGAATGATCAAATTGTTATCCAAGATAGCATAAGAGGAAGAGCATATCTGGGGAAAGATAAATTCAGTTCTAGATTTGTTTTTATAAACATACATGAGTTTTATAATAGGTGAAGATACATAACCAATTGGAACTTAGAGTTGGTCAACAGGTTCAAGAGTCATCAACTCAGGACAAGCTGTGTGGTGCTAAAGACTGCCTTGGGGCAAAATAAACAAGCAGTCTATGCATGATGGGGGCATACATTCTTGTGACTTCTGTGGAGGGTAATTTGATGATGCAAGAATTAAAAACAGTCCTTTTGAGCTGACAATTCCACTTATAGGAACTCAAAAAATCTTAAATATATTAAGGGTATTTACTGTTATGTTACTTATAATTGTGTAACATTTGGAAGCTACCTAATGGGCATCAGCAAGGAACATTAAAGAAGTTACAATACTTTCATTCAGTGGAATACTTTATACAGCCATTAAAAAAAGCCTAAATAAGCATATGTGCCAAGAGGTGATATTAAAAGATCTCCAAGATACTCTGTTAAGTAGAAACAAAATGGGACCCAAACCCCAAGGTGTGGAACATTTGTGTGAAAGTACAAGAGGATGTATTCATACATAATTTTTTTTCTGGAAAAATAGACAAGAAACTGTTCACATCTGGTCTCTTCTGCACTTTCTTAGCTTTTTAACAGGTACAAACATTACTTTTATGACTTATAATTATACTGTAATTGTCATAACAGTAAAAGACTGGGGGAACTCTAACATTTAAGGGATAGAGGAGGAGGACTCTGCTGGAGACAAGGAATGACTCAGGACTGAGGGAGGGTTCATTGGCTTTGTTAGTAGATAATGGTCAGATGGTGGGATTGAAAGCTATATTGCCATAGGTTGAATGAATGGAGAGTGAGGAAGGTGACAA